AAAACTAGCCTGGGCATGGCTTTAGAATAATGTATAATAAGGATTAAGCACCCACAGTTTTTTCTGTAACAACTGAAAATTTCATTGGCACCATGAATGATGCGCCTCCACCCATTGAAATTCCGTGAACAAGAGCAACCTGTTATAACATAACAGCGCCATTCGACAACACATAAGACTTTGCAAGCATAAACTTTTTCAAATTTTTAAGGACCAGAGTGGGATGAAGTCAAAGATTCTAAAAGGAACCTGGGTTTTCTTATACGTATGAATGTGATAGCAGAGCCAGTACATTCTGTAGACCACTTCAAGGCAGGAATCCTCTGTTCAGGGAAACTCATTAGTATCAGCAGCTACGATGCAGGTCAGGGAATCCAGATATGCGCTCTAACTGGTTTCCCTCTAAATAACTCCTAGCTATTCGCTTCCAAAAGAGAGAGGGGAAGTCTGTGAACTAGGAAGAAGCTAGTGCCCCATAAAGAAACATGAAAATCCCAGCATAACAACACACTTACTTGTTTTTTTGCCATCATAAAACACTTTCAAGTCCCCACCAGCAGAAAAAGCTCGACCAGCACCCTGAGCAAGTTTTATGGAACAATTTAGTGATCGTAAATAAGCAACACAGCCCAGAGAAAGATAATCACAATCTGTTCGAATCATATAGGTACTTATAATTGATTAATCAACAGGGACATTGCACAATATTTGAAGAAGCCATGTGAATCAGAAAAACCTTGATGATAACAAGCTTTGCTTTATCATCTTTCTCCCATTTCTCTAGATATGTCGCAGCCAGCAAAACCTGATAACATTAGACGGACGAAGACTCAGCAGCCGTAGCAACTAAAAATTAGTATATCTCTGAAAATCACCCCTGAAGGGAATTTATTCACTAGAAAAGTTCGTTAGAAGAATTTCGTTTCAGAGAAAAATCAGGAAAGGAATTTACTCGCTTGACTTACAAGTTCAGGTGAAATAGCATTTAATTGACGAGGACGGTTTAAGGTGATCAACCTCACATGATCGATCTCTTCACCAAGAACAACCTTAACAACAAAAGCAGAAATTTCCGATCAGTCATCCATTACTCACACTAATCGCAGAACCTCATTACAAATTTACCCCCAAAAAGCATCACATATCGGTAATAACAGAAATCAATAAACACTTGCCTGTTCATCAGGATTCGCAGCATTAACCGCCATTTCGAATCAAATGTTACTCTGCACAGTCAAACAAATAGCGGAATCGGAATTATAGCAACGACAATATATCAGATAATCAAATTGGAGGAAAGACTTGACAACCAACCGGGAAGAGGAAGAAAAGTTAATGAAGGTAGGTGAGGCAATGAGGTATTATAGCTCCAATAAAGGAAGGAAGGCAGGCAGGAAGCTATATAACATTATGAACAAACTGTACGGAGGGAGTCATCTGAGTAGGTCCATCTACCACCACGTGTAAACGCCTGAAGAACCGCAGAGCACTTTACAGAGAGTGTCTCGGCCTCACCAACCACCTCTCAACTGTCAGTTCGGAATACTGCATTTCGACGCATAATAACGCAAGACTAAGTTTGACTTAATTTTACCTTTCTTTTTATTTTTTTTATAATCCATATATACATCATCATTTGGACGGTTTATGTTTAGTCTAATTTCATCTTATGTTTCATCTCCGCTTTTATTATAAAAGCTTATTTAATTTTTATTTTAATCATAAATATAAGGCTTTAATCTACTTTGGCTCTCATATTTAATTTTTTTTTATAAAATAATCCTTATACTAATGGTAGTTCTAACAAAAATACTTGATTAGCAAAGATATTTTAGGAAAGACAGCATATATTTATGATAAATAACTAACTTAACTAGTTCTTTTAATTTACTCAAATTAATTAACCAGCTCTTATATTAAAGACCGGAGGTGGTATATAACTTTTACTTTTGTTAATAAGATGTTTTTTAAAAATTTAATCATAAATCATTTAAATTTATGATATTAAAACTCAACCCATGTTGCCGACTGTGAACTAGTAATCCGGTATAGTTAAGAGTTTTAAACAAACTGACTGAGTTTATTTTTATATTTTTTTTCCTTATTTCTCATGGAGCCTCAAACCACAACGTTTAGAGTTTAAAAAAAGAAGGAAAAAAAATAGCAGCTCATCACATTTATGCTGTAGTAACTTAAAGTCTCAGTAGATTGTGTGCAATTTTATTCACGAATGTTCTATTTAGTAATGAATTAATATTTTTTATTTAATTATTAATTCTTTCATGATTATAGATGAGTATTTTATATATTTTAATTAAATTGTATTGTTTCAATTATGACTAGCTTAACTTTAACTTGACCCTAATTTAAACCACTATCTCGATAGGTTTCCTAAACAATCCGGTTTTTTAGTTCCTAATTGAAATTAAATTTATATCATTAAGATGGTATTATGAGGACCAGCATGCGGCGGACCAGCCCCTGAAGACCTAATGAGACCTCACGGTCCTACTAATAATGTCCTAATTATGAAATTTAGTTTATATAAAATATACTACCTCCAATCCTAAATGTAAGAGCCAGTTAACTAATTTGAAGAGGTTAAAGAAATAAATTAAGTTAGTTATTTGTAATAAATAAGTGTTATCTTTACTAAAATATCATTACTAATCAAATATATTAGCTAGAACTACTATTATTAAGAAGACTACTTTGAAAAAAATGTATAAATATAAAAAAAAAGTAGATCAGAATCTTATATTTAAGATCAAAATAAAATAAGATTTTATATTAAAAAAAAAGTACTCCTCCGGTCCTTATTATAAGACCCAATTTGACTTTTTATTTGGTCCTAATTATAAGACACAATCCATTTTGTCTCTTATATTTATGCATTTTTTTTCAAGATAATCCTTCTAATAATGATAGTTTTAGCCAATATACTTAATTAGTAAGGATATTTTAGGAATGACAACACTTATTTATTATAAATAACCAACTTAACTTACTTCTTTAATCTCCTCAAATAAGTCAATTGGGTCTTATAATTAGGATCGGAGGAGTAGTAGTTTATAACGCACACAATAAGGTATAAAGTTTTATAATTAAAAAGTGAGGTAATGGCAAATTTCGGTATTCCCGCCTTCTCATCGTAAGTACATCAACAAAAATCCAAATGTCACCTCCACTGCCTGCAGCTACCCGCTCAGTGCATGCTATAACTGATTTCTTCTGGCGGGAGGGTTGGTCCACCTGGTTGATAAGGGGAAGACAAAGCGTCACGTGCCCGCCGTCAGTCAATACATGGGCTCGATCCTGGAAAGTCCCACGTAGGGCGACTCTGGATTTAGGGGGTGTTTGGCAAAATTAAAACCTAGATTTCAGAAGCACTTTTCCGCAAAACGAGGTAACCTCCTCCACATATTTACTTCGTAATCCGTAAAAGCACTTCTGAAACCATGGTTTGGTTTCTATCCAAACACCCCCTTAGAAACCAAACCATGGTTTCAGAAGTGCTTTTACGGATTACGAAGTAAATATGTGGAGGAGGTTACCTCGTTTTGCGGAAAAGTGCTTCTGAAACCTAGGTTTTGGTTTTGCCAAACACCCCTTTAGTCTGTACTCAAAGGGAATAGGATACCGGTGGGAGAAATCCGAAAAAAACTGATTTCTTCTTGTTTGTATTACAGCTTTGCCAAAATGAGTACTCAACCTTTTTTGTCAGACGGTACTGGCCCCGTCTCATAATACTCACACTTTATCCCAGCAAATATTCTATGATGAATTTTATAAATTTTAATTTTAATTTATTTTAATATTTAATATATTTTTTTAAATATTATCTTTAATTATTTTTCTCTTATCATATTTTTTATATATTTTTTTATCTTTTTTCTTGTTTATTATAAAGGTATATTTGAAAACAAAAATCTATTTTTAACTTATTTATTATTTTTAACTGATTTTAACTAATTGTTTACTATTTATAAATTAGTTATTTGAAACTTATAATAAAAACAGGAGAAAGTAACATCTCTAGTTACTTTTTTCTTTTTGAAAAAATATAAACAATACTCAATTGTTCACTTCAAGGAACAAAAAACCGGACTGAATACTAAATTGGTTAGGATAGTGATTCAAGAGTCAATGGGTCGGGGTCAACCCAGAATCAAACTGATCATATTAAAGTAATATAATTTGATTGAAAATAACAAAATATAACAATACTAATAATCACTAATAACAAAATACAAGGAAATACAATAATAATTTGATTGTAACAACAATAAAGGATAATAATATTGAGAATTTTGATCTTTATGATTCCTATATAACTAAAATTAATAGTTATTGATGCCAAAATTACCATTAAAATCCATTTAAATCTATAACAAATGAAATATTAGGAGCTAAATGAGAAAAAATATGACAAATAGCAAAATAATCACTCTGACCAGTTTATTACCTGTTTTTACCAGTTCACACCGATTTGACTAGTTAAATCTAACTTGAACTAGTTCCCGATTTAATCTATGAACCAAACCAGATCATTGACTAATTCGCTGGTTTTCCGGTTGAACCAGCTGATCCGATCCGATTTTTTTTTACTCTGGTTCACTACCAAATCATCTTAACACCTTGTAATTAAATTATCTACGTCGACAAAACATTAAATTATTCATTTTCTTCTTCTAAGTTCATGCAAACAAATTTTAAATATTCTTAACACATTGAAAGCAACAATTAACACATGTTGCAACAAAAAATGAAAAGAAAGACCATAAAAATGAAAAGTGGGCATGTTAACAATGTCTTTCCAATCCTAAGAATAAATAGTGATGCGTATATTTCTCATTTCTTTTCCAAAACAGATTTTTTTTTTTTTGCACACGAAACATTGCATTACTTATTCAGACTAGAAGTAGGGAACTCCCAATAAGTAGAGAGAAAAAGTGCAAAATTGAGAAAAAGCTTATGATATGTCCCTTCTCCATTCCATCCTACCAAAACTGCCATAAAGGTCATCAGATATTTCCTTCCAATAAGAAGACACCGTTACCAGGATAACATCATCAACAATACTTGAAACTTGGCAGACCCACTTGACGAGAGCTTCTGAGGAAATTCAGTTCTTCAACAAAAAGGAAAATATCATGTGAATAATGTAATCCAGAAAAAAGTAAGCCAAAATTTGTCACTAAATTCAAAACTGTCCTCGAATAAATCGATGCGGATCAGCAAAATATCAAATCAACTCTCCGAAACTAAATGCTCAAAACTTGAATGCTAGCAGTTGCAGGTATGATGTTTGGCGCTATACGATTAACTTCTCTAGCTCTTCCAAAGCACACTAATAAATCAAACGACTTTTCAGCAAAATGCAAGGAATGTGATTTATCTGAATCACATGAACAAGTTGGGCCTTGATGCCTTGTAAGTCGTCTTCAGCTTCCTACTTGGCGGCCTGACCTTCTTGAACACCAATGGGAACTTGATTTTAGAATTGTGAAACTGCTTGGTGCTCTCTCTTTTGCACATCTTTGCAGGGATGGTGGCTGTCTTGATGATCTGGATGCATGGAAACCTCACCCGGTGACGTGATGCCATTTCCGTGTACATTTGTTCAACAGCGCCATTGAGGGTGGTGTCTCGGTATTCCTTGTACATGTTGTGATAACCAGTTCGGCTCTGATATCGCAGCCAAATTCCATAGTTATCGATCTTGGTAGGGTTTTTCTCATAAATCTGCAATCATCATGTAGTAAAAGCAAGTTATCTCATCTGAGAAGATGATAAATGAATCCGAAATGCAACTGAAGCTCAGAGATTGGAAACCATCCAACCACCCCACTGCCCCACCGCACGCTAAAACAAAGTATGAAGCTTCTAAGGTAGGCCAAGTCAATAAATGAAAAAGCAGGCTAAACCAATCATGAAGAGACATGCAAGCATGTCAGGGGGAGGTCCTGGCCTCCTGCTCAAAAAAGCGACTAAGTGTTTCTCTGTGATTGGTATGGTCTTTCATATTTCTTGCAAATTGACTCTAAAAATCTCCAGAAGTGATTTACAATATGTGCGCTCCCAAATTCATGATAGATGAGTTTCAAGAGATTAACAGATAAAGACTATTGGTGACAAAAAAATAAAAAATAAACATAGCCATTCGGCCAGTGTCCTGAATCCTAGCTTCAAATTTGTCAACCTTCCATGGCAATAGTGTATATTTTCCCCTAGATGTTTAGATCATTCAATTTCTCACCACAAGAAAGCATGAAAGTATTGCTTTATACGTTGAAGTGAACTATAGATGTATTTAAACTGGATCCATGCTCGAAACCCCTCTCTTCAAAGTCCAATAACTTTATATCTCTTCGCATGATTTTCTCCGACAGGCATATTTCAGTGTTAAGCATCTTACCAATTTTAAAAACCAATGCTCAATGTAACTCAGTATACTAGTAGATTACTCGAATGAGTCATATGATGTCAAAAGGAATGCTGTAAGAGCCTAGAAGGATATTTCAGACCTCGTTAATGGCTAGCACTTGCCCATTGCTTTTCTTCACCTTCTTCAGCTTTCTCAGGAAATACCTGAAAAATCAAAAACAAAAGAAAAAAACACGATGTTAGTTTTAAAGACATCAAATAAAGCAACTTTCTTATTTCATCCAAAAGATCGATGGGGTAATACCGGGTCAAGAGAGTTGTAGGGAAGCAATATCAGACACTATTTAAATCAAAATATTATTCTCGAAATTTAAATTTATACACGAGTTTCGGGCCTCAAAATTCTTACAGGACGCAGTATCAATAATTTTCTAAATTATTCACATATATACCATATACGTAAATTTGCTAAATTCCAGCTTTGGTACTGGAAAGTATGAATGATCTGAGCTATGTCCTGAAACTATATAATGTACAATTGAAAACTCTATTTTGATTATTCTGTGGTCAAGCTATTCCTATCTTAACCAAACAAAGAACTAAAATGAACAAATAGAAGAGAGATTGAGGTCTGAGCTGTACAGTATGTTTGGTTCAGGATAAAACATCAATCGCTTAATATCTATTATAAAACAAAATGAAAATTTAGCGAATTTTTGAAACGAGAACTGTTTTTTAATCCCTGCATTTTCTCATCGTCCAAGCAGAGGGCAGTACAGTGAGAGGATCATAACGCACCAGAACTTGGATTTGGCACGGACCTCATTGGTGGCCCAAAGCTTCATACGGTAGATCTTTGGGTGCTCATCTGCCTCTGTGGGAAGGGCTCTTCCCACCACCTGGTACTGGTGAAACTGTTTCCACCCAATCAAACAATCATTGGAACCAATTCAAAACTTCACCAAACAAGATACAAATAGAATTCAAAATGAAGAACTCATTCCTCGGAAACCATAAAAAGAAAGTTCAGAAAAGCATAAAATGCCCGCGACCAAGTTGTACATTACCCTGAACGAAACCATTTGGCGCGATGAATGCCGGGGGAAGAAGCGCAAACCAGCTGCGGTGGAAGCCAACAGATAAAACCCTAGCAAGATGTTAGGTTCGGCCATCTAAAACCACGGCCCAATAAGAAGGCCCATGAGAAGCGGGTTTAAAAAGTACAATTCTTGGAAATATTTATCATTTTATTGTATTTTTACCCAAAAAAATGAGATTAAAAAATTATCCAAGTTCTTTGTTGAATTTTTTCACGGAAATATTATATGACGACAATATAAAAGGAAATATAAAAAAGTCGGATAACCATCTTCCATGATAGTGAACAAAATTTTGATTTTAATATTTAAATTTATATTTTTGTTTTCGATACTTCTGAAAAAACAAAACACCATAAAAGCAAGCAAAACTAAACGGCAGCACTTAGTTTCACGTGTGTCAATTTGCATCAGCAATAAGCTTCCACAGAGTCGCTCTGCAGCATAATGCCTCTCATGCCTTGGTCACATGCCTCTTTAAACCCACTGAGCATCCCCAAACTTTTTGTATAATTATCATTTCATCATTCGAAAATTAGAGGGAACACATGGACTCATCAGGTCCAGTCAAACTTTTACGGGGGGCATGTTTAAGACATTTTTGCAGCTAAAGTAATGGTTAAATGGAATTTGTACAAACAAATCTCATATCATAATAAACCAAAAATCGCCTTTCCAATAAAATTTAACAATTAATTATGAGTAAGTTGATGCGGATCGGCAAAATATCAAAACAACTCTCCGAAACAAAATGCTCAAAGCTTAAAAGCTTGCAGTTGCATGTGGTGATGTTTGGTGCTATACGATTAGCTTTTCTAGCTCTTGCAAGTTCACTAATAAATCAAACAACTTCTCAGAGATAAGCAAAAGGAAAGTGATTTGTCCAAATCACATGAACAAGTTGGGCCTTGATGCCTTGTAAGTTGTCTTCAGCTTCCTACTTGGCGGCCTGACCTTCTTGAACACCAATGGGAACTTGATTTTAGAATTGTGAAATTGCTTGGTGCTCTCTCGTTTGCACATCTTTGCAGGAATGGTGGCTGTCTTGATGATCTGGATGCATGGAAACCTCACCCTGTGACGTGATGCCATTTCAGTGTACATTTGTTCAACCGCACCATTGAGGGTGGTGTCTCGGTATTCCTTGTACATGTTATGATAACCAGTTCTACTTTGATATCGCAGCCAGATTCCATAGTTATCAATCTTGGTAGGATTTTTCTCATAAATCTGCAATCATCACATGTTAAAAGCAAATTATCTCATTTGAGAAGATGATAGATGGACCTGAAATACAACTGAAGCTAAGAAGTTGGAAACAATCCCACCACCCCACCACAACCTTAAAAAAGTATGAAGATTCTAAGGTAGGCCAAGGCTATAAATGAATAGGCAGGCTAAACCAATCATGAAGCGACATGCTCGGGTCCTAAGTGTTTCTTTACCGTTGGTTTGATCTTCATATATTTTGCAAATTGACTCTAATTAAAAATCTCCAGCATTTGTTATCCTCTATATGCATTTACTCAAATTCATGATGCATAGATTCCAAGAGGTTAGCACATAAGGCTATTGGACGACAAAAAATAAAAGATATACGTAAGCCAGTCTCCTGAACCCTGGTTCAAATTCATCAAACTTCAATGCCTACAGACCACATTTTCCTATAGCTGTTAGATCATTCAATTTCTCCCAAAAGCATATTCCACTGTTAAGCATCTTTCCAATTTAAAAACCAATGTTCAATGTAACTCATTGTACTAGTAGAATAACAGAATGGGTCTTGCATCGTCTAAAGGAATATTGTAAAACCTAGAAGGATATTTCAGACCTCATTAATGGCTAGCACTTGCCCATTGCTTTTCTTCACCTTCTTCAGCTTTCTCAGGAAATACCTGCAAAATGAAAAACGAAAAGAAAAACGCCTGATGTTATTTTTAAAGACATCAAATACATACAACTATTCAACTCAATATATATATATATATATATATATATATAATACAAGCAACTTTCTCATTCCATTCAAAAGACGGATGCGGTAATACAGGGTCAAGAGAGTTGTCGGGGAGCGAAATCAGATACTGTTTAAGTCCTTTATTTTAAATGATGGAACCTATTCGATTAATTTAGCATCAACAAATCAGCTGAAAGTCAAAACATTATTCTCGAAATTTTAATTTATACAAAAATTTCGGGCCTCAAAATTCTTACAGGATGCAGTATCTATGACTTTCTAAATTATTCACATATATACCATATAAGTAAATTTACTAAATTCCAACTTTGGTAATGAAAAATATGAATGATCTGAGCTATGTTCTGAAACGACATAATGTACGATTGGATACTCTATTTTCATTATTCTAGCGTCAAGCTATTCCTTTAGTAAGCAAACAAAGGACTAAAACGAACAAAAAGAAGACAGATTGAGGTCTGAGCTATACAGCACGTTTAATTCACGATAAAACACAAAACATCTTTCATGAACCAAAGTGTGAATTTAGCGAAGCTTTAAAACAGGAACTGCTTTTAATTCCTGCATTTTCTCATCGTCCAAGTAGAAGGCAATACAGGGAGAGGATCATAACGCACCAGAACTTGGATTTGGCACGGACCTCATTGGTGGCCCAAAGCTTCATCCGATAGATCTTGGGGTGCTCATCTGTCTCTGTAGGAAGGGCCCTTCCCACCACCTGGTACTGGTGAAACTGTTTCCACACAATCAAACAATCATTGGAACCAATTCAAAACTTCACAGAACAAAATACAATTAGGAATTGAAAATGACGAACTCATTCCTCCGAAACAATCAAAGGGAAATTCAGAAATGCATAAAACGCCATGGAACATGTCGTGCATTACCCTGAACGAAACCATTTGGGACGATGGATGGCTGGACGCAAGGGGAAGAAGCACAATCGCATTGCACTAGAAGACAACTGATAAAACCCTACCGAGCTGTTTGATTGGGCCATCTAAAACCACAGCCCAGTAAAAAGGCCCATGAAAAATATTCTTTGAAAAGGTGCAGTTGTTAAAATATTTATCATTTATTGTATGTTTATTAAAAATCTGAGATAGAAATTAAAAAAATTATCTCAGTTCTTTGTGGAAATTTGCAGAGGAATTATATATATAAATATAAAAGTAAATGTTGGCAAAAAAAAAAAATGAAAAAATTGTGACAAATATTTGTACCAGATCTTGAACAAAATTTTTAATTTAATAATTAAATTAACTTTATATTAGTCATATCGCTTCATGAAATATTAAATGTGGCACATCTTTTGAAAAGTATTTTCATATTTAATACTTAATAATGTTTCAAATAAAATTACCCCAAAATACGAACTATGCTTTGAGGGGGGAACACATTTTGTAATTAAAGTAATGACTAAATAGGATTTATGCAAACAGATTTTGTATCTTAATATAGTTTGAGAAAATTATAAATAAAGACTCTCAATATATAAAAATTATAATTTGAGATTCTTAATTTGGAAAATAGCAAATAAAGACCCGGATTCATATTATAAATATGAAATTTTGGTAAAATATTTGAAATGCCCCTCAGTCAAATGACAAGTCGACTATGAAAAATAATAAGTTCACTTTAACAAATGACAATTTCAATAAACCCAATCACAATTTGGTTGAGGGTATACCAAATAACAAGTTCACGTGAGGAAGCAGGCGATTATTAAATTCTATTCCTTTTCTTTCCATTTGAATGATTTTGTAAACATAACTAATCATATCTTTTTAATGAAACAGAACTTAATTAATCATGACTTATTTCAGCGCAAAAAAAAATTAATCGAGACTTGTTAATTGTAATTGACTTTGATTATTTCAAGACAAACATTAATACTCCTTCATATTAACTAATTTGAGTAAATTAATTAATATGATATGTTTTTTTCTAAAGCATCATAATTATCTTTTTTTTAATTTCTTCTCTCTCTCCCCTAATTTCTTCTCCCTCTTCCCTACTTGATTATTATTAAGAGGATATCAATAGGGTTATTTTGAGAAAAATTAATAAACATATAAAATAGATATCACATATAAGATTAATATCAACTCTCAAATTAAGTCACATAATTAAATACGGGAGAATGATCTACGAAATTTCATTAAATTGTTGCAGGAATGTGGATCTTTATTCTCTCCTGCTGCTCAATTTGAACAATATCTTTATACTTATATCGTTATTTTTTATTTTGATTAATGAGTGACTCTCTTATCACGGAGAAACCAATTGATTAGTGTCATAATCTGTACCATTTCTTTAACTACTTATAAAAATATTATTCTCCTCAAAATTCAAATACTATTCACAAGTCAGAGTGACATTAGGCTTCATCTTTCCTTTTTTCTTCTAGTCTCATTTATTTTTACACTCCCAGGCCTACCTAGTGATGATTTTACACTTCAAAATATAGCAAAATTCTGCACTTTCTGATTGACAATGAAATCAAGTATTTATGATCTTGTTTCTGTAATTACCTGAAGCTTACTTCTACAATCACCTAGTAAAGAAACAAACAATACACTGCCTTGTCTCTCATAGCATGCATCTATAACTTTCCATCAGGAAAAAAAAAAATCTAAAAATCCACACCCCTTAAATTAGAGTTCAGACGACCAATGACAGAAGCTGAACTTTTGGTAAAAATAAAATAAAATGAGAGAAGTGGGACCACCTATCACCTCTATCTCGATAGATGGGTCCCACATCTTTCTCCTTCTATCTCTTCTTTTCATCTCAGGTGACATCAACCAATCATGTTCACTTAAAATCTTCAGTGTTTACTAAACATCAGCACAATTCACTGGTGCAAATCCGAGTCTGGAATTCTTGAGATCATAGAGGATGTGAAAGTTCTGCTGCTGATAGTTCCCAATTATGGAAAGAGCTGAATGAGGAGTGCCCAGAATTGCCAAACAAACAACAGCACTTGGTTCAATCTCAAAGAAGTAATTTTCCACAGGGAAATCCCAAACAGCTCCATCTGCAAACATGATCCCAAAATCAGGCAGCTCAACAGCTTCAAACCCAGAAACATTATAGCAAGGCTTTAAAGGAAAACGGCCTTCTTCAATCATCTTGTAGCCCCTGATCTTCTTCATGAAAGCCTCCTTGATAATCTGATAAGCAGGCTCTGCAAAATAAGTTAGAGTAGTGCCAGAATCAATGATGGTTCCTCCACCACTACCACCACCTTCTTCTGCAGATACAAGCCAAGTTTCCTTTGGTATCTTCAGTACTTCACCACCAACCATGACAGCTTTTATCTGCACATAGTAAAATGTATCAACTGGGTTTTCTTTCCCACCCACAAATGAGGTGAAATTCAAGTTTGGGTTGCTGAGAAGTTTCTTGTCTTCCCCAAATATCAGTTTGCTGCTACTGTTGCTGTTTCTATCCACAAGGCAATAGGAAAATGAATGACCATAAAGAGATTGAAGCTGAGAAGCAAATGACAATGGCCCTCTTCCTAGTCCCAGCAACCCAGCAGCTCCTTGGAACAGACCTCTATTCCAATGTCCACAACCAAACATTACATTCTCCACACGCTTCAACTCAGACTTCCCTTCAGATGTGGTGAGATTAACTGTGAAAGTCTCGAGAGCAAAATCCCCAGTTGTATTGGAGCTATCCCCATACCAGTAGAAATAAGGACAGCTCTGCTTCTCAGCCTTGCAAGCCTGAGGTGGATCTGGGGATGACACTAACTGGCACCTTTTGTCATGGCAGCTTATGTTCTTGAAGGAGCTTGAATCCTTAGGATCATAGTAAGGTCCACTTTGCTCAAAGCAAACATAACAAGGAACGCATTGGATCCAGTTAAGATCACTGCCTGTATCAAGTATCAAAGAGAAATGTTTTGGAGGTGTACCAACAAACACATCCATGAAGTACTCTCCAGAGCCAAGACTGACCCCTGATTCCAATGTTGCCACAAGCCGGCCGGGATACGCATTTATGAAATACTCCGGCACAGCTGCCTGTGCCGGCGCCGGAGTAACAGCCTGCTTTGATTTGAGCTGTGTTTCCTGCAGCCTTGAAACAGTGTTTTGGTTCTTCTTCTCCTTGACCCTTCTATGAAGGGTCTGGATTCTGGTCAAGTCCCGAATAGTGAAATCAATCACAGGTTTTTTTGGCTCGGCATCTTCACTCACCGTCACAGGTCGACGTTTCAGATCGAGCTTTAGCAATTGTTTCTGTGGTGTTGCTACATAATCATCACCAGTATCTTCATCTGATGTGGTTATTCCTGAATGCCCAAATTTCTCAGACTTTGAGAAGCTACAGTCAGTATATGCAGAAGAAGACGCCGTATTGAGGCCTGGATGATCAGGCATTTTGATGGCAGCGAGAGAAGAACCATTTTTCTTGAGACAGTTCTGATTGTCGTTGCTGGAAACAGCCTCCACTGCGCTCGAATATATTACGAGCAGAACCAGAACAAGAGAAAACTTCAAAGCCATAGCGACGGTATCTTCTTCCTTGGACCCAGAGAAAAATCTAACATCGAACGCCTTGCAAATTTCAGTAAGAAATCTAAGGAAGAAAAAGGAAACTCTAAGACATTCTGAACTGTGGAAAGAGCAAGAGGGGTCTGAATTCCTTGTATACAGAAATTTCCCAGAAACAAACACCCAAATGAAAACAAAATGGGGAATAAATAAAGTCAATCACGAATTGTCCCGAAGCCCAGGAAGCAAAATCTATCCAAGACTGAAAGTTAAAGTTGACTGAAGAAAAATGGAGATAAGGATGTAAATTAACTACAATGGGAACTCTGAAGGCCAAAATGTGTGTTTGGAGGGTAAGAAAATTCTGATGCAGAGACGTTAAATTTGGGTGAGAGCGAAGTCCAAACGAAAAAACGCGTTTTCATCAAGTCTTCACATACTATCAGTTACAGAACAATATTAAGTTTTGGAACAAAAAATAAATTTCTGTGATCCCGGTGACATAAATGCCAGAGAGATCATGTTCATACCTGGTCTGCTTCTCAGAGGGGAATTTCCGAAGCTTGCAGCTTGGTGGGGGTTGAAAGAAACTGTACCAAACTTTCCAAGTTGGTGACTCGTTTATGCTTTGTTCAGTGTGATGATGAAAGGCTTAAGAGGAAATAGCCTGCAACTTCAAAAAAAGTCAAAATTGAATTCTTGGGGATTTCCAGTTGGAGGTGGAGAAGAAGAGGATGTCTGTGCTCAGTGGTCAGAGTTTTTGAATCTGTCTTACTCGTGTGGGGACAAAAGAAAGAGTGAGGGAGAGAGAATGAAGATTTTGTGAGTTGAACAAAGGAAAAAGACCTGAGAGAGAATTGGGGTATTGATGGTTACGCGCTGAAAAATGGCAATAGCCTTAAAGGACGCAAAGCCTTGTGATTCATGAAGCCATCGCCCCCTCGTAAAGGCATTTTTTTTCCACGAGTTTTTTTTTTTTGGAGAAAATTACGAAAAATATATCCTATTGAAAATTTTAGTAATGAAAAAACTTAATAATTTTTTATATATAAAACATATTAATATTCTGATTTAGATATTTTCACCAATAAAATCTTTAACGGAAACTTTTTTTCCAATTTTCTCTAATGTTTAAATATTTTATAAATAATCGTCCAATATATATATCAAATCATATTATTATCCATAAATAATAAAAGTAGAGATCAATTTTTAGACGCCTTGTTTGCGACGAGGATATAGTGAGAATGCCATGGGGTGTAAGTATAAATTCCAAGTCAAGCTCTTGTAATGGAATAAAAAAAATGTAAATTATGCCAGTGGCATAAAATATAATTCATAAATTATACCTTTTTTTTAAAAAAATTCAAGTATGGTAATCATTTGTTACTATTATAGTATATTTAAATTTTAAATTCTGTTACAAAAATTACTTGACCATGGTGATTAATGACTACATGTAAATTCATTTTGAAAAAACTTTATAAATAAGTAAAAGATTTTGCCATATGATAATATTTGAATTTAGACACAATCAAGTGGAGTATTCAATTAAAGATAGAGAGGAGAAAAAAAATTAAAAAAATAGTGAGATTCACATCTTAATATTGAATATTGACAGAATATAATTGTCATTCGAACAAATATATTATACTTAATAATTAATTAAAATTGACTTTATGGGCTTTATATATTGAGTTTTTTTTTCACCCAACGATTAGATAGAATTCTTTTTTGTCCAATTTCTTGAACAATCTATAAAGGACTAAACTGAAACTATTTAGAATGTGAATTATAAAAACAAAAAAAAGGGTATGAATTGACCTGTAAAAAACCGAAAGATGATGTAATAAGATTTGACTTTGAGGCTTAAGTTTTATATAAAAGAATTAGTTTGACCTAAAATTTAATTCTAAATATAAAACTTTAATATATTTTATTTTTTATATTTATTTTTTTTTAAGTAATCATTGTACTAGTTGTATATACTAAAGATTCAATCAAATGATAATTGTAGTTAGTACACATAATTAATAAGGATATTTTAAGAAAGACAGCACATATTTATTATAAATAACTAGCTTAACAAATTTTATTAATCTAAACAGATTAGATAATTAGCTCTTATATTAAAAATCAGTAACAGTATTAGGGTAATAATATCCTTGAATTCTTTCGGGAGATTTATTAATGAGTCAAACCTCATAAAAAACAATAAATGTAATTGTTTTATCAGTACTGCTTTCTTGATTCCAGCCATAATCTCAACAACTTCATGATCATTTGACAGCTTCAAAAACTAACGTCAGTGATAATCTGAGCCTGTGAGGCACGAAATAATATTAAATATTAAATCTGAAGAAATTGCTGACAATAAAGACAGTGCAATTTCTCTGGACACCTTTTTTTATTATTTTTTTAAGAAAAATGGATGGATAAAGAGGTGGTTAGATTTATAAAATAAAAAATTAAATTAATAATCAGAAATAATATTTATTTTTGATGAAAAATATGCATTGTTAATTAATAATATTGAATATATTATAAATATTATAGCATATAGAAGTATTTGTATCATTGTAATCGCAATCAAAGGAAATTTGCATAGAGTTTACCTTATGATAAACTTATTTAATACTTGCCCCTAAATATATTACCCCTCAAATTCTAAATATAACACTCTTTTTGCACTGTAAAATGAGTTTTATATTTAATACCATATGAGTATATAGGGGTATTTTCATGTACTTTATGTTTTTCATATAATATTTTTCTCACATTATTCTTATTAATTTATCAGTTTTTCTTACTCTGTTTACGACATTTTATGCCTCATTAAAAGAGCAGCAGTTTAGAGAAAGTGAAATACAATTTTTACATAATAATAACAATATATACATATATAAAATCCAAAGCATGCAGTGCCACTCATTCTTCAAACCTTATGATTTTCAACAGTATAATGTATAAAAAAAATATTTATGATTTTTTTATTTCTCATTGCTCCGACAGAGAAACACTAATTTTGGTATTTTAACTATCATTGCATTTCAAAGTACAGCTGTGTGACGTAAATTTAAAAAAAAAAAAAAAAAAAGCAAACTACTCCTTTGGTCCATAATATAAGTTGCTTTTAGAAAAATGGTCCAAAATATAAGTCACTCGAAAAGTAATTAATACTTATTTTTCTCTCCTTTACAACCTTATTTAATACTTGTAAAGTTGTAAAAAAAACTCATTTGAACACATTTAATGAATTAAATATCATTTTTTAATACTAATGAATTAGTTAAAATGACTTATATTATAAATTAAAAGGAGTATCCATATTTATGCATAATATATACAATTTTTTAATATTAATAAATTAATTAAAACGACTTATATTGTAGACGGGAGAGTCCTTGTATTTACGCCTAATAAAAATATTCCAACAAATTATCCTGTTCATGGTGGATGGATGACAGCCTGTTTCTTAAATCTCGTACGACCAGCGGGCCACTAATTAATTTTGAATGCAAAACAAATACAAAACCTAGTAATACAACAACACGAACCCCATTAATTAGTTCAATATCCGGTCTTTAATATAAGATTCTGTTTGACTTTTATTCTGATCCTAAATATAAGACCCCAATCCACTTTGTCTCTCATGTTTATACTTTTTTTTTTCAAAATAGTTCTTCTAATAATGATAGTTCTAGTCAATACATTTGATTATCAATGATATTTTAGGAAAGACAACACTTATTTAAGGCAAATAACTAACTCAACTTACTTCCTTAATCTCCTCAAATTAATCAACTGACTCTTATAATGAGGACCAGAGGTAATACTAATTAATTAATGGATGATTATTAATGATAGTAATATAAAAATAGAAAACTGTACTGTTCTTAGGTATGAATGTCCAAGCTATAGTAACAATTATTTTTTTTAACCAGCAGTAAGAGTGCATACCTAACCACCAAGAAAACCAGACCCAGTCAATTAATATTTAATGTCATGTGATGGTCGGTCTCAGTGTCTCACTCTTCTTTGACAGCCACTTGCATGGCCCATATGGCAAAGATTTGCAGGTGACCACTTCAATTGCTTCTATTCCTATTCTACTCATTCCTTCTTTGCAGCAAGGGTATTTTGAATTTGTTTCAAAAGGCATGACAAAAGTCACAAAAACAAAAAGGCATAAAAAAGGGAAGAAATGTTAAAGATTTTTTTCATTGTCAAATTTAGTGTTTAAAGATATCAAGAAACCTGGATTTTTTTTTCCGAATAGAAGTCTTTTTTAACTATGTGGTATTGTGCAACATATCTTCAGTTATGTATAAATATTTTTGATTTTGTATGTCCTTAAAAATAGGTGACGCACAGCTAAAAAAATTTACATTCGCTAAAAATAATTTGTAAAAGAATTCTTAAACAGCTTTTAAACATTTTAGGGGTCATAAATTTTTGGATTAGGGATTTTTTTGCAATTTTTTCTTTGAAAAAAATACTTCATACAATATAGGATCAAATCTTTTTCTCTAACCTTAATCCATGTGTCTACCTTAGTGAAAATGAAAGTTATGTGATACGAGTATCATTAAAAGTATATCTAAGCTATGATCTTAACCAAACTCAAAGTTGACCCTGGATAATATATGGATATAAAATAAATTGCATTATTTCATAAGTTATTAATAATATATATATTTTACATTAAAAATATTAACTAGTAAAGAACTGAGAATCAAACAAAAGGCATATGCCTTTATTGAAATTCTGAAACCCTAGCAAGTCCCAATCACAGCGACCAAAGAAAAAAATTTAAAATGTGAAGGAGCTTCGAGATCACAGAAAGGCATTTTAAATAAGAGAAAAAGAAAAAAGCCGCGGAGTTTGTTGAAGTTTGATGCGAACATACGTGGGACATACCTGCCGATTTAAAGCAGCAGCCTTGAATATAGATGTTAATATTGGAAATCACAATCACCACTGTGTCTGGTTGCTTTGCTTGCCACCTTTCTACTCCAGTTTACAAAGTAAAAAAAAAGAAAGATATTTTTTATTATATTTAATCGTTGAAAAAATAGATATTTTTTAGTCCTATTTATAAGACACTGAGAAAAATTTTTCGTATGTATATACAATTTTACCGTTCATTTATTATTGTGTTGACTTTATTTATATGAGCTATAATATATATTAAATAGGGATAAAATTGAAAAATTGTTAAATTTTAAATGAGCATTAATAAAGTTTAAAGTTTTTTGTGTCTATCTAAAACATGTTGGAAGTGACTCATAGATACAACCAGAGAATGTGTGTACATGCTTCTATGTTTTCAATTTTTTTATTTAAAAAATTTTGCAAACTGAAAATTGTCTTGAACCATAAAGTTGCTATAAAATAGAAGGGCCCTACTAATAGCTATATTCTTATGGTCCCTTGCTTACTGCTTAAGTAGATTTGCTTCCATCTCATTGAGAAAAAAAAAATTATGAAAATTTCACGTTAAAAATTAGTTTGTTGTCAATTTTTTTAATTTTTAAGGGTGAGTTAGATAATTTTAATATAATGGAGAAGAAAATTTTGCAAAATATTAGAGCGGATGAGCCAATCACTTGTTCGCCATTCGCCTTCTCTCTTTGTATTTCATGCAAGCAATGTCATTGCTGGTTCGAAGTCATTTTAATTTTTCAGCCGTTGGTTTTCT